AATTTCCGTTGTCTGACTCAGTGCCAGCTCTCTCACAGAGCAGGGCGTGATGGATTAGTTTCATTAGATGTGCAGTATTTCTTCCCTCTCTTTGGTCCTCTTCCTCAAGCACTTTCACTTCTTGGATAAATTTATCCAGGAGTGGATAAACACTGCGGCTGATGATAACAAGACCTCCTGCACACTGTATAGGAGATTCAAGACTTGGGGGAAGCAACCTGGAATGCATTCAAAGGCTGAAAATTGCTCTACTGGAAATTATGAGCTGAATCAAAGAGAGAATATATTCTGGAACTTGAGCACGCTTCCATTTCTCACTCCTACGGACAGGTTTGGATGCTCCTGTGGATAATGACAGAAAGACTCTTTCCACAGATTCCCTTTCTAGGCAAAAAAAATCTGAATGTTTTTCTAATAGCTCCTGAAAGAAAGATTTCCTTTTCCGTTGTGGCTGGGTGTGCAGGGGAGCTAGTTAGGAGGACACATATTGAGGCTGATTTTTGTCAATTTTTCACTGGCAAGTAGCAACCTACTTCTTATTTACACTGCAGAGTCACAGCGAGGGTTAAAAGAGAAGCTGAACGGAGCATTTTTCACTGCAGGCTGCACACGCATTTCCTTGTTCTTGCATTCAAACCCGTCATCTTCAGAAAGCAGCTTATGCCTGATGTTGGTGATTTCCATGTGTTTCCACGTGCATGAGCTGTGGTTTAAAAGCAACTTCCTCTTTCAGCCTGTTCAACTCTTCCCCTTGGTTGTTTGGTTGGTTTTTTTTTAAGATGTTGACCTACAAGTATGATACTATGAGAAAAAAACAGTAACGGAGAGCGCTGACCTCTGCCTTTTCCACTGTTCGTTTCCTTGCCAAAATAGTTTATCTCCTATTTACATCCTCTGCCCCTTGTCTCCTTTCTATTTCAGTAGCTGGTCTGGCGCCTGTTTCTAAAGGATGATGCATCTGCATCAATCGGGCATTTGCTGCAGGAGCATTTCCAGTGCTTCAGAAATGGCTCAGCAGCTTATGAGTCAGCCGTCACGCGTTTGGGAGCCGATGCTTTCTGTTGCACTTGATAGCTCGGTAAAGGGTGGAGTGGGGATCACCGAGAGAATTAGTGCCCGGGGGTGATCGTTTGGAACTGGAAGCGAACAGGACAAGTGCCTAAAACGGGCACCTCTGCAGTCACTCGTGAATCGCGCCTGCACTGGCCAGGCCCGTCTGCCATCGCCTGGAAAACACGTGGTCTCTTTTGGGTGCGATTTAAAGGTGTTAATGGGCTGAACTTGAAATGTTTCTATGCTACAACGCCACAGAGTGACAGATGTGGCCTCGCTGCGTTTGAGATGCCACTGTGTCAGAGCAGGGGCCTAAAGTTTAGTTTCCACAGTCCCTTTACATGGCATTTATGGGCTCGTGACTGGGCTGAGTTCAGCTCTGGGGCAGCTTAACACCAAAGAGCTACTGACAGGTGGAGAGAAATGTAGATGAGGAGGAGGCTGGGCAGGCAGGGACGTGTATCCTGTGACTACGTGTGAATAATGAGAAAGCAATTGCCGAGAGCAGTATGAGGAGTTACATATAGGTGTAATGTGTCAGGTATAAAAAAAAGAGAGAGAAAGGGAAAGTTTTGGTACCGGAGGAGAAATCCTCCCTGTGAAAATTTCCAGACTGAGCAAATAGCCCTCATGGGAAAGGAGCAGAACTGGTTTTTTCCATGGGAAATTCAAAATGTTGGACTCGAGAAGGGAGGTATCTTGCAGAAGAGATCCAGCCTCAGTCCCTTGAGAAGGACTAAGAGAAACTACTGTTTTTCTGTCTTTAACTGATGATGATTAGATTTTGTTAGATTATTTACTCCCCCGCGGGAATGAAACTGCTTATATTTGAACAACCCACAGATACTTTGAGAAAAACACCACTAATCTTGATTTCCAGGCAAGATTAAAAAAAAAACGGTTGTGAAAACTAGAGGTGCTAAGAACAATGTCTGCAAGATCTTGCCAACACCACTGATGTCAGCACAAATCTAGCCTGTGCTGAGCAGTATTCAACTATTGCACTATTGCAACTGTGCTTCTACTTGATGGCTCTAAAAAAACAAGAAAAGTGTCAGTTTTACATCCTTTTTTTTTTTAGTGATCAAGCCTGGTTCGCATCTTCAGGTCACACCTGTAACAGGAACACTTCTCATTCTTAAGGAACATTTTTTTCTAACCTGTGTAAATCCTTTCTCACGTTAATTGACCTGGAAAATAATTGCAAAAACTCATAGCAGACCTACGTCTGTGCCACTAAGTAAAACCAGGCCAGGAGGCAACACACTGTTTAACTGCTAGCAAATTTCCTGGTCTGATTTTAGCCTGTGCAGTCACCCAGACAGATAAGGAAGATGGGGATGGAGAGGGGGGCGTCTCTAGACACCACCAAGGGCTGACTTGTCTCCACTGATACTTCGTTTATCCATGAACTTGGGTGTTCTTAGTGCAGCAGGAGCAATGGTGGAGGCGGTCCTGAGACATGGGATATACTCGCTGTTTAGTCCTGTCCCTGGAGCAGTTCCAGCAGGGCCGGGGCAAGCAGATGGTGTTCTTGTGGGACCAGACCCATGATCAGAAACGATGCTCGGCTGTCACCCAGCGGCTTGTGCTTGCAAAGTGTCCCGTCTAGGAGCAGACTGGGCAGAAGATCAGGTGGTGGATCCTTTAGGATGCTCCTGTCTCCATACAGGTCTGGTTCCTGGAGCTGGGTCAGTCTCCCTGTGCCCAGCCCCAGCTTGGCTCTGGGGTCCAGGCAGTGATGCGGGAAGATAGGCCGAGCCTATCTTTCTTCCTTACTCATTTCTGGCCTCATGGACCACTGTGGTCTCCTTTCTCCCTGCAGAAGTGTGTTTTCTTGGAGGGTTTTGTCTCCTTTGGTTATTATATGTTTTAAGAGTTTTTATTTGTGCTTCAGGCTTTCACACAGAGGATCTTTAAGACTGGAACTAGTGACAATCTGGTCTGTAGGCATCTGGTAAGGAGGGGTGGATACAATGGCCAAATACCGTTTGAGGAAGAGGGAAACCATGAGTAGCAGCTGCTTGAGTGAGAAAGAAGTCTCCAGGAGGGGCTTGGGGAACAGCCAACATGTTTTGTGAGATGAAGTGGGGTTGCCCATGTGGGGTGTGCAGATAGGGAAAGGAGGGGGACGTGGGGAGTGGGAGAGGTGAGCAAGACCAGCCTTTTGCTTGTGCTGAGGCTGAAGGGCGGCTGCAAAGTTTGGGAGCAGGACTGGGGCTAACCCTGAGCCAGAGGAGCGACCGGGGGGTGCACGGGAGCGGGGGCTCACTCAGGCAACAGCCTGCCTGTCACCCCAGGAGCCCCTCGTGAAAGAGCCGTGTGCTGAAGCAATAGCCCGCTGTGGGGCTGGAGCTGGGGAGCGCAGCAGCCGCCGGGTTAAAAGGAGGCCACGGGCACATTTCTGTTCTAGTTTTGCGGTTGCTGGAGAAAGGTTTCCTTTGCTTTGCAGAAGGAAACGCTAGGGATGGCTGCGGGATGAGGGACAAAATGAGGCATTTTGAGGATAGTGTTTTGTTCATTATTACACTGTTTGTGATTCTCTTGTGATTTGGAGCAACCTTGTCACATATTCATTAAAAATCTGATCCATCTGTCTAAATTTTACATGGAATTTAAGGAGGATGAAGGATAAAATTTTCATAAAACCCGAGGTCTTGAGAATGATTCTCCCTGGGAAGAGAGTTGCACAGGGCAGAGGTGTGTGTGCTGGAGCAGATCACCTCGCTGCACTGCCTGCTGCCTCCATAGTGTAACCCGCTCTCTTGACCTGTGTTCGAGCGTGTATCACAGTTGCGCACTGTGTAATCTCAAGAGCCTTCCCGGTCCTGACAAAGCCCCATGAGCTAATTGGGTGCTCATGCATGAACGCAGTAAACCCTGCACTTTATGCCTGATATACCACCTCATGTCTCTGATAGACTCTTTCTAGTAGATTCAGCCTATGAGCAGTCCCATCCCAGAAGACCCCCCTGGGAGAATTCTCCCATCAGTGCACAGGTACGGAATCCCCCCAGAAAGGGCACGCTCCAGTCTGGATCCCAGCTTGCTGCTGGACCTCCTCTCGGTGGGGTACGTTAGCTCTTTTAGCCAGGCTGCTTTCACCTCAGAGCTCGTTCTGTTCCTTCCTTCGCCAGGAGACAGTGTCCACCCTTCTTGGTCTAAGTAATGGTCATTTCATGTCCTTGCACGTGTAAATGCCTCCATTAGCCTGGGAGTCATCTCCTGCACTACTGGCTAGTAAACAACTAATCTCAGTGAGGGTTAAACTATTCCTCTCCCTTTGGTATTTCATCAGACGGTACGTTCTGTATCTCTGTGTGCCTAGTGCCTCGCTCAGCGCTCACTGTGCGTTTTAGTGAGACGTGATGGTGATTGATCCCTCAACCACATGCAGAATTTATTTATTAGTTTCTTAAGTTGTTGGGTGTTTTTGGTGGGAAGATGTAGTAACCAGGCAGGTATTTTGGGTAACTGGTACGGACCCAAGTTCTCATTGCTCATGCAAATGCTCAAGAAATTAAAATTTTAGCCAGGTGCTTTGCCATCATGTAAAAGCTGAAGAAAGGCTTTAACATGTAACAGTGAGAGACTACAGCTCTCCTTGTCGCCTTGGATGCTGTAACATGGCTTCATGCTATAACATTTCATTATCAACATTTTGTGACTGGGGGGGTCGCCTTGAATGCTGTAACATGGCTTCATGCTATAACGTTTCATTATCAACATTTTGTGACTGGGGGGGAGAGAATGAAGTCTGGGGGCAAAACTGAGGCGGGGACTTCCCCAGAGGATGAATTAGCTGGAAAGCAGCTAAGGGAGGATCTTGTGTTAGTGCAGCTGCCGGCTTCCGACCCGAGAGCTGCTGCCGGCGAGCAGCTGACGGGAGGGAGGAGATCAGCCTCTCGCTCTGAAGGGGTTGGTGTGTCAGGTTTCCATGCAGAGCACGTGTGGATAATGCGAGCTGCAAACGCTGCTGCCTGCGCCAGCCACCGGTACAGAGCGAACTGGGAGCATGGGGCAGGTGGCTTGGAAGGGTTTATTTCTATCGCTTTTTGATTATAAAACAGAGAAATACGTCATTGCGAAGAACAAGAAGGTGGGGGTTCTCTATCGAGTGGTGCAGCTCTCCATCCTGGCTTACCTGGTGGGGTAAGAATCACCCTGCATTTCACATACTGCTGCGGTTGTGTTTGCTTGCTGTGTTGTGGTGAAGATTAATGTCACTCTGCATACAGTGACAGCTTGCTATGCCTTATGATTTTAATGCAGATAGTTATGCTTGTTTATACAGCTGGATTTTGTAATGTCTAATAGATTATATCTGATTTTTCACCTGCTAGGGATTGCTAGATTCAGCTCTACCTTCCAGATTTATGTTGGGTTAAAAATAGATCAAACGGCACTATGGCTTTGTACTGCATTATTTATGCCTTTATTTCTGTATTCGGTGGGAATGGTGCCAAACCTTAACACCTGACTCATTAGAAATAATAGCATTTATGGCCACGGATGCTGAGCCTTGGGACAAACCTGGCTTGTCTGCACAGCTGCATGACATGCTCAAATCTAAATGGGAGGGAACCGAGCACAAAGTGGCAGATTTCTTTGCTGGAGTGGGCTGCAGCAGCCAGGATTGTGGAGGTTGAGGCAGCATGAATGTCAGCTGCCTTGCATTTATTTCGGAGCAGGGCGAGTTGGCATGGAGATAGCTAGAGCACCTCTCAGAAGAGGCCCAGTTCTGCAAGAGGCTGGTCACGCTGACATGTAACGAACACAGCAATACTCCTTGCAGCTTGCAGGCTCAGACCTGGAATTATCCAGCCTATGTGATGCCTGTGCCGTTGCTTCCTGAGTTTCTGAGGCTTTGCAGAATGTGATTCAGAAGTCTTTACCCTCACTGTGCTTCTGAGTCCCTTCGCCTTTCTCACACCTCGTGTTTTCACTGATTAAATATAGCAGAGTCATTTGTACATGCTAGGTTTATTTATAGAAAGGTGTACAGTTCCAGAGCCTCCTTTAGTTAGCAGGTCAGAGATGAAGTCTCAGCAGTCTGGCATGTATTAGCTGCTAAAGGAGGAATTCTGTAGATAACGTAGCCGAGGACACATCCTCCATCCAAGAGGGATATAGCATGACCAGTGACCATGAGTGTTCAGAGACTGTCTGGGCCGTACTGGCTATTTTCTTCCCTAGGCATCTATTGCCTTCCGCAAACCTTTGGCACCGTCACCGACGGTGCCTGCAGTGACTCCTTTGTGGCTGGTGGCTTACAGCTTGTCGCAGAGGTGGTTAGCGTTAGTCTGATGTCTGACTGCTTGGTTACATACCCATACCTGTTCAGAGGCTGGCTCAGGGGTTTGTGATCACCAAACCCCTCTGGATCGTTTCTTGCATGTAGCTGCCATTTCCTCCCTGATTTGCTGCGGAAAACGTAAGGGTCTGCTTTTGAGCCCTCCTGGGAGAGAAAACGAGTGTTCTAGGAAAAGCAGGAAAGTGGGAAGCTTCACAGGGGTGGGGATTGTTATAATTCAGGTTTGTCACAAGTAGCAGGTGAAGGGCAGCATTTGTCAGTGCTGCTCAGCCCCAGAGGTGGCTGCTTTCCCTTTCTGCGTGCAGTAGTGCACGCCAGGTCAGTGCACTGCAAAGGAGAACTGTGCCAGCAAATGCAGCCTGCATCCCTCCCCCAAAGCCTGCCCCGGCACCCTTAGCTTCTTCAAGGGTCTGGGTGATTTGTTGTCTTGGCAGGTGACTTTGGCACTATTGTGGGGAAGCTGGAAGCATTTCATTTAAGCCAGAGAGATTTTCACCCAATGATATGGAGCTGTTGCTGCTTCCAGTGGGGAGAAGTAAGCAAAGCGTTTCCCTGGACTGCTTAGCAAGGCAGCAGCTCTTCCAGGTGTGCTAGAGAGAAGCCTGAAGCCCAGCACAGAGGCCAGGGTGCAGTCAGGTTGTTACCATCGCACTGGCTTATAAAAGATCCTGTATCCAGCTGAGAATATTCCCTACAGGTTTCTGTTAGTAATATTCAGCTCACCTGCAGGAGTTGCATCTCCCCAGCCATGGTCTGTTGCCGGACTGGTAGCCTAATGGCAGGCTGCTAAAATGGGAGTGAGTCATGTATTTGTGAAACCAACCACACTCTTCACTGCAACTTGCAAAAGCTTTCATTTTTCATCTTGAAGAAGGCAGAGCCCTGCCCTCCCCTGTTTCCATTGAAGTTGCTGAGCATAGCACAGGACAGGGAGGTGGGGGGCTTGGTTTTTTACCCCATGACCAGTTATTACACCTTTCCCTGCGTGTGGGGTCTTGGTCCTGACTCTTCCTCCAGTGCTGGAGACAAGCACAGCTTGTGTCAAAGAGTTTTTTCTAAATTTGTAGTAGTAGTTGCAGAGGGTTTGGTGTCATTGGAATGTTTTGATTTGCCCTCGAATGGTGTTTGGCCTTGGTGTAAATATTCTCTTGGCCTTGGTGTAAATATTCTCTGGCTAACTTGTTCCCTGACCCCACTTGCTAATGCTGCTGCCTGCTGTGTTCTTTGCAGGTGGGTGTTTGTTGTCAAGAAAGGCTATCAGGACACAGACACATCCCTCCAGAGCTCTGTCATCACCAAGCTGAAAGGGGTAGCCTTCACCAACACCTCGGAGCTGGGGGAGAGGCTGTGGGATGTTGCAGACTACGTCATCCCTCCGCAGGTTGGCATCACCCCGCTGCTATCGTCTCTGCCGTTCAGCTAGAAAGACATCTTCCAGTGTGGTTGCTGGTGGAAAGGCTAAGTGATGTATCCCGGTCTTTCCTATGAATAAGCAGGAGGTGGGCTACAAGAAAGCAATGCTGTGCCTTCTCTTAGGTCTTTCCAGCAAATATCAAAGCAGCCTTGTCTCTCTTGCAAAGGTCCATGATACTTGGCAAGCTGAACTTTGCAAGCAGAAGTCCCGTGGACTTCGGTGGGATTGCTCAGCTGAGCAACGTGTCTGCTTGCCTCCTTTCCTGGGCTAGAGCAGGCGTGCACGGGGCAGCCCAGAGAGGGTGGGAGATAGAAAGAAAATGTGGTGCAATTTGAGCGATGAGGGTTGCTTGAAATGTGTCTGGCTAAACCTGCCTTGCTGCTTCCTTGACTTGGAAAAAGTGAGATGCGTAGCTGATGCTTAAGGGGAAAAGCTGGCAGCAGATGTGGCCCCGGCACCAGGTTGGAAATTGCCCAGCTGTGCTTGCCAGCGGCTGCTTGTGCTTTCCCTGCTAGTGTCTACCACATGTGCATGGAAAGGTGTGAGGGGAAAATGAGGTTCCTGTGCTGACAGGGGGCAGAAAGCGGTAAATTGAACAATTTACTTGTCTGTACATAAGAATAAGGCTTCACCTTCCTCCTGCTGCAGCCCATGTTTACTCAGACCTGTGGATCTGTGCTCTGCGTCTCCACCAATTTTAATGCAGAGCCTCACAGCAAGCTGTTGGTGTCAGACCGACGTGTGCTGTGCAGCAGGAAGGCCAGGCAGCGTGCTTGCAGTGCCTCTTGTTCAAGCTGTGTGGAAGCTCTGAGACACATCCAGAGGGCAGTGGTCAACGGCTCATGTCCAGATGGAGGTTGGTGACGAGTGGCATCCCGCAGGGGTCCGTATTGGGACCGGTACTGTTCAATATCTTCATCAATGCCATAGACAGTGGGATCGAGCGCACCCTCATGCAGATGACACCAAGCTGAGTGGTGCAGTCCACACGCCAGAGGGACGGGATGCCATCCAGAGGGACCTGGACAAGCTCGAGAAGTGGGCCTGTGTGAACCTCATGAGGTTGAACAAGGCCAAGTGCAAGGTCCTGCACCTGGGTCGGGGCAACCCCCGGTATCAATCCAGGCTGGGG